CGAAGCAATATAAAATGTACAGTTGTAAAATGATGTCAAACAGTGGGCATACTTGGGAGCATTATTCATCAATATATACAATAATCTACTCCCAATCAGAAAACAAGCCGGGGCTGCAATTAGAGGACAAAAATATATATTTTCCCCCTTTTTTGCGATATGGGTACTCAAGAATTCATGCGGGTGTGTTCATAAACTAAGACAAATTAGCAGAGAATACACTAAAATGAACACATAAAGAAGCAATTTGAGGAACAAACAACAATTTCACAGCATGAAAAATAGCAAAACTGAAGTAGCATATCAAAAGAGAGGCATGCATGGATAATTACTTGCTAAATTAACAACTTTCATTCTGTTGGCTAACACGGTGGCTTAGTTCTGTTGAGTAAAGCAGCAATAGGCTATATAATTAGATTAAGGACTAGACGCAAAGAAACTGTTATTGACATATGTAGCCATTACTATTTTCCAATACCACGCAGGAAGCAGAGCTTCTACATAGTGAATCCTCTATTTACAATTCATTACGAACAACCTAAGTTGGAAACTTCATAAAAGTTCACTTAATCCACCAGTAGTTAATGCCAAATCAACATTGAAGGTTTACCACTTACTAAAACTTAGAAGAACAAAAATAATAGGTGCATCACATATCAATTTCTCTAGGTTGGACGTTTTATCAGTTACAAGATTTACAGTTTTGCGTGTTGGAAATTTCCGTAAACAAATCACAGACTAGGTGTCTAGGTTAGGTGTATTCAAAGTGTCCAAGTGACTGAAAATGTTATGAGGCAATGAAATGCGTGCTTTGATCCAATCTCAGGCAAAATTGTACGAGTATATTGCATTAGTCTAGGATGCATTAGTTCAAAATTAAGATGCATTTTGCCATCAAGTTTTTTGCATGCTATGTCCAAGTCCAGTGAGAGTCCAAAAGCCAACTTATGACACTTGGTTTTTGAGAGCTAGGAATCTCTTAGAGTTAAAACACCAAAAGTTGAAGATCTCATACCAATTTTTTTTTCCAATGTTTGTAGTTAGGAGCTAAAAATGGAACCTAAAACATTAATTATAAAAAATGCCATATTTTGGGGAAATCACTATTTTTAGCCAATTCTAAGAATTTCAGATTTTGTTTTTGATACATAGAGTTAACTTGCTATATAAAATATAATTTTTTAATATTTTCATTGAATTCAAATAGGGGGGTATTTTGTTATTTACATGTAATAGCTTAATTAAATGGGAAGGCAAATGTTGTTAAGTGTAAGCATTGTCTACATATAAACAAAGAAAAATCTTATGTTGATGACCTCGATTTTTAAAACACCTACACATCATATGAACTTAGATCATTCTTATTGCATTGGTGCATACTTCATACCAGTAAGAAAAAATGTAAAACTTCTATATTTCCAACTGAATTAAATTGAAGGGCACAATTCCCGACCAATTGAACTAAAGAACATATATATAAACAAACATATGCACATGCCTAATTCAATAATAATGCCAATCTATGACAGTCTGTTGTTAAATGAACCAACATATTATATCTTCTATATACTTTTAAACTTGTTAACATTTTGAAAACTTCAAATTACTTTTTTCCAGCACAAGTGTCATCTCAAAGCTCTTCAAGGAAAGAAACTAGAAGCAATATTATGATGAGGACGACAGTATGTCATATTCTAATGGTCATCATTTACTTTTTTCTGTTGTCGTCCATCAATATTAGAATAACATTACTCAATGCATTGATCTAAAAACTGATTTGTCCACTCATTCTTAGAATTCTTATGTAAATTAACTCTTCTATACATTTATGGATCAGTTTAAGAGATAATTGGTAAAAATCAAAAGGACCTCAATTCTAATGCATGCTTTATTATGTGTCAACAATGCAAGATTACAGGTAGTTCATGCACGCGCAGGTTTTTGTATGTTAATCTGCATTACTAATCTTTCTAAGGAAGCAAGGTATAATTGTTCAGAACTAAGTGCAATACATAGAACTTACCCACAGCGCTCAGTGTAGCTTTTAGATATGATTGTTGACTGAGCACCACTATCAACGAACGCCTGAAAGGAAGTGAAGCAAAAAGTCTACAATCAATCAAAGCAACAGGGAAGAAGATTTTAAAATACAAAGTAACAAGCTACACTACTCAACATCACCGACTCAAACTTCTAAACTTGAAATATAAAATGAATGATGCTATAGTAAATGAGTTTCTCGCTACATTTTATTTATTTATTAATTTTTACCACTACACAAAATCGAGTTCCTGAAAAACCAGGAGCGAGAGGATGAAGAACAGAATGGATTTGAAGAAGAACAGAATGGATTTGATGAAGAACAGAATGAATTTTTACCAGATCGATTTTGGATTTTGGATCTGCGATTTGATGAAGAACAAATAAAAATCGAGTTCAAGTTCTATGAAGAATAGCTAGAGCAAAGCCCTCGAGCGACAGAGATCGATGAAGAATAGCTAGAGAGTTCGATTGCGAGCGACAGAGATCGAAGAAGCGCAAACCATCGAGGGTTTTGGATCTGCAATCGAGGAAATCGAGGGTTGAGAATGAGAAATTGAGCGAGCGAGCGAGAGAGAGTAAGAGCTTCAAATCGAGGGTTTTGGAAGAGAGGGAAATTGAGTTGTGGTAGACTAAGAAAGAGAGACTGAGTTCAAAGAGACGGAGTTTTGACGGTGAATACATTGACCAAATACGGCGCCGTTTCACTGAGGTCAGACACAACGTTTTTTGAAAACGTTGTATTTCGTGAATTTAGAGTGGCGTTTTCCTAAACGCCACAAAAAAAAACGTTGCTATACACCATTTTTCCTGTAGTGTATCCTGCTATACTCAGCTCAATAGCTTAACACACTAGAGTCATTAAGTGTGTGTATATCTTAGAAAAATTGAGTAGTATTATAAAATTATTAATTTTAACGTCTAATTTAGACGGAAGAATCAAATTAAAACCTTAATAAATTGACAAGTGTTCCAAAATTATTAATTTCAACTTTCAATTTAGACGGAAGGAGCAAATTATTTATTATTAATTATTTCTATGTTAATAATTATACATTTATATATATATATATATAACAAAAGCATGGCAATTAGTTTGTTTCAGGGAAGTCATGGGCACAAGAAAACTGAAAGGAAGAGTTGATGATCACTTACGAAAAAATTGCTAATTTATCTAATCCATCCTCTGAGTGTTGTATCTTCAGAATGTATGATCACTTATCTGCATTTTAGAAAACTGCTTCATCAACACCCCACGTCCATGTTGAAGTCTGACACTTACATAAGCAAAGCCAATGCACATAGATTAAAACCATCAACTGCATCAAACCTATACAGTAGCCCCTACAAAATGTTTGATCAAAACAACGGGCCAATCTTGCAGGTGACTTCCACAGGAGTACTAATGTATCAAAGACAATAAGACACTAAAGTTTTAACAAGAGCAAGTCCCTGAAAATATGCATCTGATGTTGCACCAGGGGTTGCCAAGGTTGAATTAGAGCTCTCGGGTAGAGGAGAAACAAGGCAGCCTTCCTCACCCACTAAAGCTGCTGGTGGAGTTAAGGATCCTTGAGCCATTGAAGTATCTGATTTTGGTACAAATTCAGGGAAGGCGCATGCAAGTATCTTCTCTGGTGACTTAGCAAGTTCTTCTCTCAAGGGTTGGCCAGCATCTGATCTAATTATGTACATAAACCTGGATTTTGATGCCAATAATTTAAAACAATGAAAGAAAACAAAAGCAGGATAAACTGATCAGTTGACCAAGTAAATTACTGATTAATTTTTCAATCAAAGCATCTAACCCATTTCCTATCATTATATAAACCAAAAAAGTCACGCTAGTGGGGGGAGTAACAAATGTCAAAATTATTATAATCTCAATGTAATTTTTTCACATATTCTTACACATATTATGCTGGCTGGAAGTCTGCTCCTTTGTGCCCCTAAGGGTTTCTGTTGTTATGAGGCAGATCAATTATTATAATCTCAACTGTTTATCCTGATTGATCACAAAGTAAAAAATTCCATGATTGTAATTGATAGCACATAACAATGGCAAGTACTCGATATTAGGTATGCTTCATTTAGTTTGTTCTTGTACTCACAAGTAAGCAACGAGTTCTCACTACTACATGAACACCCACACATACCAATATATCTTAGTAGTGTTCTATTTCATTTGTATAACACCATTTTTGTGTCCCTATCAAAGCCCAAAAAGAAAACTGTGCAGACGAGGGTAGATTTCAAATTACTTAACAAAAAATTATGATAAACATTAGAAATTCAAAATCATAATGTTACACAAAAAATATAAGCACAAAAAAATATAGACCAAGCACACTTGCCAAATAGATAATTAATTGCAAAAATCCAAATAATCTCACACATTGTCACTCTGAGATCATGAGACCATCTATAGTATAAGCTATCTAATCCCAAACTGTCTTGCAAATCAATTACCACCCCCTCTCCAAAGTAATGAAAACAAACAAATCTACAAAATCTTAAATTAGAGAGTTAATTGATTTGAAAAACAAAGAAAGTAATGAAAAACAAACAAAACTACCAAAGAATTAATTGCTTTGAAAAATGTATCTGAGATGAAGAGCAAGAGAGATCGATCTGGTTCAACTATCTGTGAAAGCAGTATATCAATTATCGTACCTCAAATAGAATATTTTGTAATACAAAAAATTAAATAATTATGATCTAAAAAGCAGAATATTACTGGATCAGATGTAATAAAACACCAAAAAAATGAAAAATGAAACTCTTTTAAGATATCATTCTCCATAATCTAGACTACATGATCTATATGTTTTGACAATTTGCCTCACTTATAAAAAATAAAAATTAAAAAAAAAATTGGGGAAAAAAATAAAAGAGAGAGAGAGAGAGAGATGTATATATCAAATAGCACATATTGGTTGGCACCCCAACAGTACCATTCTGTTGGCTAACTCGGTGGCTTAGTTCTGTTGAGTAAAGCAGCAATAGGCTATATAATTAGATCCGAGAGATGTATGGATTTGAGAAGATCTACAACTAGGACTAAGATAGGACATCCCATAGATGGAGCATGGATAATGCCAGAAACCATAAACAAAAAATTTCATTTAAGGCATTCTGTTGAACACATATACCAAGATTGGCAATAAACATTTTTGTAGCTAAAATTAAAGACCAAAAGTGCTGGGATAACCCTTCATTTGGATTCCAAAAAACTATATGAACATTTCATTCAGGCATAAGAAGAACTTTTAAGGACTAGACGCAAAGAAACTGTTATTGACATATGTAGCCATTACTATTTTCCAATACCACGCAGGAAGCAGAGCTTCTACATAGTGAATCCTCTATTTACAATTCATTACGAACAACCTAAGTTGGAAACTTCATAAAAGTTCACTTAATCCACCAGTAGTTAATGCCAAATCAACATTGAAGGTTTACCACTTACTAAAACTTAGAAGAACAAAAATAATAGGTGCATCACATATCAATTTCTCTAGATTGGACGTTTTATCAGTTACAAGATTTACAGTTTTGCGTGTTGGAAATTTCCGTAAACAAATCATAGACTTGCATCACATATCAATTTCTCTAGGTTGGACGTTTTATCAGTTACAAGATTTACAGTTTTGCGTGTTGGAAATTTCTGTAAACAAATTATAGACTAGGTGTCTAGGTTAGGTGTATTCAAGTGTCCAAGTGACTGAAAATGTTATGAGGCAATGAAATGTGTGCTTTGATCCAATCTCAGGCAAAATTGTACGAGTATGTTGCATTAGTCTAGGATGCATTAGTTCAAAATTAACAAGAATTTTGCCATCAAGTTTTTTGCATGTTATGTCCAAGTCCAGTGAGAGTCCAAAAGCCAACTTATGACACTTGGTTTTTGAGAGCTAGGAATCTCTTAGAGTTAAAACACCTAAAGTTGAAGATCTCATACCAATTTTTTTTTTCCCATGTTTGTAGTTAGGAGCTAAAAATGGAACCTAAAACATTAATTATAAAAAATGCCATATTTTGGGGAAATCACTATTTTTAGCCAATTCAAATAGGGGGATATTTTGTTTTTGATACATAGAGTTAACTTGCTATATAAAATATAATTTTTTAATATTTTCATTGAATTCAAATAGGGGGTATTTTGTTATTTACATGTAATAGCTTAATTAAATGGGAAGGCAAATGATGTGAAGTGTAAGCATTGTCTACATATAAACAAAGAAAAATCTTATGTTGATGACCTCGATTTTTAAAACACCTACACATCATATGAACTTAGATCATTCTTATTGCATTGGTGCATACTTCATACCAGTAAGAAAAAATGTAAAACCTCTATATTTCCAACTGAATTAAATTGAAGGGCACAATTCCCGACCATTTGAACTAAAGAACATATATATAAACACACATATGCACATGCCTAATTCAATAATAATGCCAATCTATGACAGTCTGTTGTTAAATGAACCAGCATATTATATCTTCCATATGCTTTTAAACTTGTTAACATTTTGAAAACTTCAAATTACTTTTTTCCAGCACAAGTGTCATCTCAAAGCTCTTCAAGGAAAGAAACTAGAAGCAATATTCTGATGAGGACGACAGGATGTCATATTCTAATGGTCATCACTTACTTTTTTCTGTTGTCGTCCATTAATATTAGAATAACATTACTCAATGCATTGATCTAAAAACTGATTTGTCCACTCATTCTTAGAATTCTTATGTAAATTAACTCTTCTATACATTTATGGATCAGTTTAAGAGATAATTGGTAAAAATCAAAAGGACCTCAATTCTAATGCATGCTTTATTATGTGTCAACAATGCAAGATTACAGGTAGTTCAAGCACGCGCAGGTTTTTGTATGTTAATCTGCATTACTAATCTTTCTAAGGAAGCAAGGTATAATTGTTCAGAACTAAGTGCAATACATAGAACTTACCCACAGCGCTCAGCGCAGCTTTTAGATATGATTGTTGACTGAGCACCACTATCAACGAACGCCTGAAAGGAAGTGAAGCAAAAAGTCTACAATCAATCAAAGCAACAGGGAAGAGGATTTTAAAATACAAAGTAACAAGCTACACTACTCAACATCACCGACTCAAACTTCTAAACTTGAAATATAAAATGAATGATGCTATAGTAAATGAGTTTCTCGCTACATTTTATTTGTTTATTAATTTTTACCACTACACAAAATCGAGTTCCTGAAAAACCAGGAGCGAGAGGATGAAGAACAGAATGGATTTGAAGAAGAACAGAATGGATTTGATGAAGAACAGAATGAATTTTTACCAGATCGATTTTGGATTTTGGATCTGCGATTTGATGAAGAACAGATCGATTTGATGAAGAACAGAATGGATCGATTTGATGAAGAACAGATCGAGTTCGAGTTCGATGAAGAACAGCTAGAGCAAAGCCCTTGAGTGACAGAGATCGATGAAGAACAGCTAGAGAGTTCGATTGCGAGCGACAGAGATTGAAGAAGCGCAAACCATCGAGGGTTTTGGATCTGCAATCGAGCAAATCGAGGGTTGAGAATGAGAAATTGAGTGAGCAAGCGAGAGAGAGTGAGAGCTTCAAATCGAGGGTTTTGGAAGAGAGGGAAACTGAGTTGTGGTAGACTGAGAAAGAGAGACTGAATTCAAAGAGACGGAGTTTTGACGGTGAATACATTGACCCAATACGGCACCGTTTCACTGAGGTCAGACACAACGTTTTTTGAAAACGTTGTGTTTCGTGAATTTATAGTGGCGTTTTCCTAAACGCCACAAAACAAACGTTGCTATACACCATTTTTCCTGTAGTGGGACCTGATGTGAACTAGTTGTGTAGTCTCAAATATTTACTGGGTTGCTTGTTTGTGATTACTAATCGTTGGACTTTCGCCTAAAAACACATTTACATTACCAATGCCTACTGATAGGTATAGGTTTAGGCATTATGAGGTATCAATTTCAGCGTATCAGTTTCTGCTCATAGCTTTTATTGTTCAAAGTAGTAGGTGGTTAAGAAAACCTTTTGTGGATTCAAAATGGCTTCAACTTGCTCGAAAATTACATGTTTTATGTGTGGTTACAGACATAGGGGATTAGTCCGGAGGAAACTCCCTTGTGTGGGGAGAAAAAATGGCTCCACACCTTAAAAAACCATATTTTCAGATTTTGGCTTATGGGATTCAGTTTTGCCTAAATTTCGACCCAACATGAATGTTAATTGGTTAGATCCCCCATCGCAGCCATGGCACTGAATGCAACAGCAAAAGTTCAAACAACCCTAACATAGTTAGAATGGAAATGTTGATTTTTTTTTTTGGTAATGAAACATGGTTGCAGCATGAGGGCTAAGTTACTTGTATTTTGTTTGTTTATTTATTTTTCACTAGAATTTCTTGTGAATTGAAGACTAGTCCTTTTTTATCAAGCTCCCTCGATGGCATATGCAATGTTACTTAATTATGTTAAATGTTTCGTAATAATATCTTCCTAGCATGAGTATTTTTGTTTCTCGAAATGACTTATTTTCGTATTGTAGGTATGGGACCTTGTTACTGGAAGACTTTTACAAACTCGAGCTTTTCCACTACCAATTACTGCAATAGTTGTTGATCCAATAGAGATGAAGTTTTTTTCTGGTGGTATAGATTATTAGTGGATATTTCTTTTTTGTATACGGAGGACATCATTTTTGTATGATTATCTGTTTGTATGGAATTATTATTTTGGGTTGGATTATATTTGGTTTGTATAGAATTTGATGTTATAAGACCAAATTTTTGAATGGTTGAAAGTGAAATAGAAATAGACATATGTATTGTTTTGTTTATATACAGGGTGCAGGTTGCACGAAATAAATACAGATTATGCAGAAATTAATAATAATAAATAAATAAAATAACACTAAATAAAGTTTTTGGTGACTAAATGTTTAGTAGCCAAAAAAAACAAAATAAAACTTGTTGGCTACTAAAAATTTAGTAGCCAAAAACAAACCAAAGATTTTTTGACAACTAAAAATTTAGTAGTAAAAAATATATGAGACTTTAGGCGACTAAATAGTTTAGTAGCTAAAAAAAATATGAAAATTAATTTTTTTTGGCGACTAAATATTTAGTAGCTAATAATAAATGATACTTTGGGCGACTAAAAGTTTTAGTCGCTGAAAATGAAAATTAATTTTATTTAAAAACTTTTGGCGACTAAATATTTAGTAGCTAATAATAAATGATACTTTGGGCGACTAAAAGTTTTAGTCGCTGAAAATGAAAATTAATTTTATTTAAAAACTTTTGGCGACTAAATATTTAGTAGCTAATAATAAATGATACTTTGGGCGACTAAAAGTTTTAGTCGCTGAAAATGAAAATTAATTTTATTTAAAAACTTTTGGCGACTAAATATTTAGTAGCTAATAATAAATGATACTTTGGGCGACTAAAAGTTTTAGTCGCTGAAAATGAAAATTAATTTTATTTGAAAACTTTTGGCGACTAAATATTTAGTAGCTAATAATAAATGATACTTTGGGCGACTAAAAGTTTTAGTCGCTGAAAATGAAAATTAATTTTATTTGAAAACTTTTGGCGACTAAATATTTAGTCGCCAATTTATGACTTTTGGCTACTAAAAAATATTTAGTCGCCAATACCTCATACTTTTCCCTACTAAAACATTAGTAGCCATTTATAGGATAGAGCCAATTTAAGCTTTGTGAGGGAAAAGGCGAATCGGAAGGCCTTTTTCAGGATTAGGCATGGGATCGAAAACAATCTTCTTGTTGGGAATTACTTTCTCCCACTTGAACCTCTTTACCAGATTATGCATGAACACTAGTATTTCCAATATATGTGCCATTGTTCCTAAAGAGCTAAAGCTTGATCAAGAGGTTTCATCCTATCTATTGTTCCCACAGACGGCGCCAATTGTACGGGAAAGAAATAAACCTTCTCGTATCCTCTTTTCTTTTGCTTTGCAGTCTGGAACTTATATAGCTTCAGATAGGTCCTGGCCTTACTGTTCTGACATGACCTAGGTTGAACCCTACGGCTTTATGAAAGAATCAATCCTGTTTTGCACAGATGTGGAGAACGGCACGACACTCTGAGCGTAAAACGATTTTATTTTTGAAATTGAGAGATGAGTTTTTGACCAGGGTATTGAGCCTACGACTGAACACAGCGCACTACGACTCAACAACGGAAAACAAAAGGTAAACAACCTAAACACAAACATAGACACTCAAAAACGACTCAAGACAAAAATCGAGAAAAAACAAAAAGACACGACACTCAGACGTGCGCAGGGAGCCTGTTTCTCTGGGTATTATTTCCCACCCTTTCTCATTTGTGATTCTCACATCACTCGCCCCTCAAGCTCGGTTTTTCTCTCAAAACCCTTTTCTCGCTTTTCCTCTCAGCGCACATCTCTCTATTATTTAATCTCTCATTTTTCATCCCTCTCCAGGGTGGTTGATGGATAAACAAAAAGTTGTGGGCTCTTGCCCCTAGCACTCAGCTAGATTCTTCTTTTTCTGCACGCAGCTAGTGAGTTCCTCCCACAGAGGGGTTGTGCTGCAACTAAGCGTGTAGCGAATCTACAGCTGACATTGGCTGTCGATGCTCTACCGGGGAGTTTGGACGTGGTTAGATCTATCCAGGTGAGGCAATGGGATACCTTGCTCCATTCCAGTTTGTGCTTCGCACTTGGCTTGATACCTCACTGCTCGGAGGATATGAGAGCTTTCAGCCATTTTCTATTAGTTTCCGCTGTGTTGTTCTTGGCAAATAGGGTGCCCTTTCTGACAAGTATGGTGCCCTTTCTAGCAAGTGTGTTGACAATGGGGAAAAGACAGAAACACCTGACTCAACTGTGCCCCTAGTTTATCATTTTGACCATTTTTTGTTTTTGGCTTTCTGTTAAAACAATTTTGACCAACATGAGAGTTAGATTAACATGCTTGTTCGATTTTCTGATTTAAAATCATGCAAGTCAGGCTATGAGCACTGAAAATTTTCCTTTTTGGGTCCCAGAAATGGTCCAGTTTTGGAAAAGTGGAATAATTTTTGAGAGAATTAGTCAACCCAAGTAAAAAATTCTCAAAACTGTTTTTGCAAACGGCCAATGCTCAATGAGCATAGAACCCACTCTCGAGATGCACAACCTCAGATTCGAAGGAAAATTGGCCCTTGCTTGAGGGGAGCTGCATGGCAACGGAAAGATGCTCCTTGTTTGAACGGCACCGTAGCGCATTGAATGGCAATGGAAAGTTGCCCCTTGTTTGAACGGCACCACAGCGCATTGAATGGCAACGGAAAGTTGCCCCTTGTTTGAACGGCACCGCAGCGTATTGTATGGCAGTCCTTAGAGCGACGAACACAACCAGGCTCTCGGATACAGAGAAGGCAAAGATGATCAAAACCATTGCATGGGCACAATCAATTTGAAGTGTTTTACGGCTGGACTTCAGAATGAAGTTGCCTACATATCCCAAAGATGGGAATCAAGCCTTACGTAGTTCGGGGCTAAGGTACACTCGGGTATTAACCTCTCCTTTTACGCTCTAACTTTTGCCAAGGCCGCCCTTCCGGGTTTTCAACCTTACGACCTCTGTTCTTCTTTTCTTTTCAATTCTTTTCATTTATTTTCTTTTTTTTTTCTCTTTTTTTTTCCTTTTTTTTTTTGTTATTTTCTTTGCTCTAACTTTTGCCTGGGTCGCCCTTCCGGGTTTTCGGCCCAGCGAGCCTCTCAAGGGTAAAAGTGTAGCTTTGTCCATGTCAAATGGTTTTGAGATCCTGAAGTCATCTGAATCCAGGAGAATAGTTGCTGTTTGCTGACGATGCAAGAGTCCATCCAAAAGGGGGGCTGAATCTGCCCTTAGTGTTGTGGGTAGAAACTCAGTTACCCTTCAGCAATACTTTCTTCTTTCATCCCTTCTGGGATTTGGCATTCTTGCCGATCTTTCTTAGCTTGAGAAACATCCCAATTTTTTGACTCTTCGAGCACATCTGACATTTTTGCCTCTAGTTCGAGGGCTTTTGATCTAGCTTCGCAAGCTTCCATTGAGTTTCTTGTCCCTGGTTCGAGGGCTACTTCTGATCCGGCCACATAGGCTTTACATGGTGGTTGATCATTGAACATTTTGAATCTAAGTTCAAGGTTCAAAAGCGAGGGGTCGAGTCTCGAGGTCGAGAGCGATCCTAAGCTGCACAATCTCAAGAGCGATTCCACACAGGTCTTCGCAGGACTGCGCAAAACATTTTTTGAAATTTTTTAAGAAAGCGACAAATCGCTCGCGTTGAAGACAGTGTAGAACCAATCTGGATCAAGCCAGGGTCCTTCTCAGTACTCACTTTAACAAACATGATCTCATTCATTAAGGGGTTAGCAGGCCTCTCTTTCTCTCAATTGATCAAATTTTTACAAAACCCGAGGAATTCCTTCCTCTTTGTTTTCACCGCAGTGTTAGAAAAAATTTTGAAAAGCGTAGGTCAACGCAACAATTTCAAGGCACAGAAGAGGAGGTGAAAAGTACTGCCGCTTCATTCAAACTTTCTGGCACAACTGGCGCAAAGCTGAAGCAAACACAAGAGTGTGAAAATCACTGCTGTTTCATTCAAAATCTGTTAGCGCAACTGGCCCCCCGGCAGAAATAGACTCAAAAGAAAACGAAAAGACAAACACAAAACAAGCAAGTGATGTCTGAGGTAACACCCCCGAAATCACCAGACTCCAACAAAACAGGACCAACTCGATGCAACAAGACAGACCCTTA